CCTGTTTTTATCCATGTTGGTGAAGGTTTGAACACAACGTGTGTGTGTTTCATGTCATGTTCAAAACACCCTTACAACCACAAAGTAGCACCTCTTAAAATAAAAAAAGAATAAAAAGAAAACATTAAAAAAATCCCATCATATTAACTTTGTTCATTAGTTTGAAGCTGTAATTAAGCAGCTCCTGGAGGTGATTAAAGCAGTCAGACGAGTCGGACGGACGGAATCCCCCCAGGGAGGCCTCTGATGTGAACATGTCAAACATTAAAAAAAACCGGTTCGTCATAAAAACACCTCAGGAAAAAACGTCAATTCTTCTTATTAATATGATTATTATGAAGAGCTCAAAGAGAGGAGGACTAACAGTCAGGAGCTGTAATTAAGTCCTGATGAGAAAATGATGAGAGTGCAGAAAGTTGGCAGCTTTAACTGATTTTTATCTTCTTCTGATTATTATTGATCAACTTTAAAAAAAGCTTTTAGGATCAGTGGCAATTAACTGACAATCATTTTAACTGTAATTATGTTTTTTTTTTTAGAATTAAAAGTTCTTCACACGCAGGGGATGGATCTGGTTAAAGACAGATTGTCTTTATAAAACAAAAAAAATGTTTTTGCTCATAACAACATGACAGAAAATACACATAAACTCATTGGGTTCAAGTCAAAGTTTTATCCTTTTAAAGAAAATTAAATAGACAAAAAATAAAATAAATAAAAAAGTGAAATGACGCAGTGAACAGGGCGGGAAAAAAGTCCAAATGAAACATTTTCTTTTTGTTCTTGTGTTTCCTTAAATTTTTTTTATTATGCTTCTTTTTTTTTTGTTCAATTTGATAAACAATAAAACCTGTTTATAAAGCAGCTTTATAAAGTCCAGATTTTTAACCTATAATTTATAAAGAAAAAACGCTCAATATGTTTGAGGACAATACAGGAAACGTGAACGCGCTAGTTGTGCCGGTTGTTGTGTAAAATAAAAAGAGCAGCTTATTAATAATAAACACAAATCAGCATCGAAATGTACATAATAAATAAAGTTAAAGGCCTCCTTTTTTTCTGGTTGCCATATAACATTTACATTTCTTACAGTTCTCTTTAACTCCAGCTCCTTTGCTCAGGCAGGAACTTCTTGATTTTTTTTTGTTGTTTTTTTATTTATTTTTTATGGAAAAGTTTGTTTTTTGTCCTGTAAGTCCAGGGGCAGTTTAACACTGTTCATGCCTCTCTCTTTTTTTAACGGGGCGCGCGCTGCTGTCCGTGTATTTACATGCATTTCTGTGTATTCAAGTGAGTTAAAAAGAGTGGGGGGTGTTGGTGGTGGTGGGGGGCGGGGGGTTACATGGCAGTGGCGTGTGCGGATGAGTAAGGGTCTATCCCAGTCTTGGTCATACCTGGAAACAGTATGTAGGCCACCGGGGGCTGTAAACTGGACGCCGACCAGGCCGTGCAGTTGCACGGCACCACGTAGCCCGGGTTCGTGGGCGACGGGTGGGTGTGGGTGTGCTGGCTGGGGCACCCGAGGGTGCCGAACGCGCCGTTCTGGTATCCCAGCGACGACGCGTAGGGCAACGTGCTCGTGCTCAGCGCGTGCGGCATCTCCGTCATCTTCTGGATGGCGCCGGAGCTGAACTGGCTCGGGTCGAGGAACGAGTAGGGCGCGGAGGAGGGCGGCAGGAACGCCCGGGCTTTGTCCGGCGAGCCCAGCAGGGAGTCGGCGGCCGACACGGGCAGTCCCTTCAGGTGCTCGGTGTCCCCGAGGTAAGGCAGCGGGAAGACGTAGCGGTCCTTCTTCAGCAGGTTCTTGGGCTTGCGCCGGGGTCTGTACTTGTAGTCGGGGTGCTCCTTCATGTGCTGCGCCCGCAGCCGCTTGGCCTCGTCGATGTAGGGTCTCTTCTCGGACTCGGACAGCAGCTTCCACTCGGCGCCCAGCCGCTTGCTGATCTCCGAGTTGTGCATTTTCGGGTTCTCCTGCGCCATTTTCCTCCTCTGGCCCCGGGACCAGACCATGAAGGCGTTCATGGGTCTTTTGATGTGATCAGCGGGCTTCGACATGTTTCACCTTGTTTTTCTTTTATTATTATTAATCTTATTCTCCCTCCTCCACAGCGCCAGTGACAAGGAAAAGTTGTGATGGGAAGAGGAAGCTGTTCACCTGTCTAAAAGCCAGATGCCGGTCATGCCACGTCTGGGGGGATGATCCGGGAGGGAAAAAGAAAAAAATAATAATAACAGTGGAAAATCCAGGACCCGGCTCGGTTCTTCCTCGAGTTGCACAAACTAAAACCACGGCAGCTGTTCTCTGAAGTCCAACTCTGTCCGACCTGCTGCAGGAACGGAGGAAAAAAAGAGAGAGAAAAGAAAGGAGGAAAAAAAAGTCGTTAAAAATCCACAAAGGTGAAAGTAAGGTTCCGCAGGAGTCCAGCCTGATTACGATAATAATGATTATTATTAATATTATTATTATTTCTTCTTCTGCGGAGTCTTGGTTGTCTCAGCGCACTTTTCTCTCTCTCTGTGAGGTTTCGTCGTCACAAGCACCTGGCTTGGAAATGAGCGGAAGCGCGTGAACGCGAGCCAAAAGCGGCGAAGTTCAAAAGGCTGGGCTGGTTTGGTTTCTGCACGCAATCTGACATAATCTGCAGGGCGTTCACTTCAGCAACCTGCGCGCCCAATCAGCACGAGGAGCGCCTGTTAGAATACCTTCCGTGGGGGTGGGGGG